CACACACACACACTCTCTCGCTCTGTCATACATGCTTGCAGACATTATATTCACACAGTGTCTCTGTCGTCCAGTTGGTCGCCTCTAAAATCCTAAAATAAGTTTTTTTTGTTTTTTGCTGTGTTCATTCAGCGCCGCCTCTGCTGCTAAGGAGTATTTAAAAAAACACAAAAAGAATCATTGTTCCCTCCAAAATAAAGTAACTTATGGTTAAAACGAGAGAATCATTTCCTGTATTAGTCTTTAACTGAGAAACCCTGAAGGCCACTACACCTCCTCCAACCTACAGCTTTTAACATTAATTAAAGGACAGAAAATGGAGGCTCAGACTTCAGCAGAGATTTATTTTGGTTTTGGGTTTTTGGGATAAAACATGCATCCAGACATACAAACACACACTGTATAAACCTCCATTAATCATATTTATCTATAAATATCAACATATTTCCTGTTTTTAACCCAGAGGAGCAGCAGGCCGACAGTTTGTGGTAAAACGGCTCCACCTGCTGGATCAAAGTCCAACTTCAGGTCTGTATTAATGTTAATGCACGCTGTGTGTACAGAGATGGAGGTTTTAAAGTTCCTCTTGAGTTTAAATGAGGCTTCAACAGTCAGACAAACCAGCCTGGGTCTCTTCATCCTGGGGGTCATTACAGGTGTTTGGTCCCAGAAACAAACACCATTAATGCAAAATGTGTGTTTATATTATATTTAAAATGCAGGAAAAGTGACAGACTGAAATGCAAACATCAAGAATAGCTTCAGCTTGATCTGTCCTGATATTTATCCCTAGTGATCATGTGACCTAAGTATGGAACTTAAATCAGCAGAGACTCGCTGCTCTTCATCTGAAGACCATGAGAAGGTGTTAAAAGCCCTGGAAAGTGGACGTGGAGGTACTTAAGATCACAAAAACCTCCAAAATAAAACGTCTGCTGTGAGGAAACGTGTGAATTTTGAGCTGAAAAGACTTTAAGTTTGGAAGATTCCCGTTTGTTTGAGACTGTTGGCGCCTCAGAGTAGCTTCAGCTGGACCTTATTAACGATCCCGACACAGAATTTATCCTCCATCTCACACAGAGATGTCTCTCCAGGGTCAGAGGTCAGACACTCTACTGAGCATGCTCTGTGATTACAGACAATTTTATTAATATAGAGCTGAAACAGTGCGACATCTGCACACTTTAATTTATAAAAGCTGCAAAAGTGTTTTCTGTTTAACTCCGTTCAGTTGTTAATTTTTTTAAAACAGAGTGAAGAAATATAATGTACATGAACAGGAAATCATAAGAAACAAGAAATAAAACAAACCTGATTTTTATTTTCTGCACTTTGTTCAAATCAGATTCAGATTAAAATAAATAACCAATAACATCAAATTAACATAAAAACACTGAAATGATTCTGTATCACAGTTTAACGGTTTATTGTTTGTCTTATTTATCTAAAACCTGAGGAAGTTATAAATTAATAAAAACACAGAATCTTTACGTGTGAGGAGCTAAAACGTGCTGATTAATTTACATCCGTCAATTAATCGATTAATGTTTGATCCTCTGCTGCACGGTGTCAAAATAAAGCCAGATTATTAGAAAATGTAAATAATTAAGAATAAGTTTTAGTTTATAAAATGTCAGAAAATAATGAAAAAGAGCCAAAATGTTTCATCCAAAACTCAGTCACTTTACAAAGATATCAAACAGAGAAAGAAACTCTTAATTTCATAATGATAATCAATTAATCTGATTCATTATATATAAATATGTTCAGCTCTGTTGCTGCTGATCTGGATTATAAATCATTTTCATTCCTAAATTAGAATTTATTTTAAGAAACATCTCATCTGTAAACGTTGATTAAAATGTGTTTTTGTTTCAGTTGGACAGAAATAATCTGCAACAACATTTATTCTCAGTCAGTTAATCGATCAGAAATCTATAAAATGTCAGAGACGAAGAATACGACTTTGAATTGGTCGATTTGTCCTCGAAACCCCCAAAAATATTTAATTTACAAAGAAAGAAAACAGGAAAAAAAAAAAAGCAAATCCTCGAATTTAAAAGCTTATTTTTGACACAAAATGACTTAAATATTAAAAATATTTGCTCTTTCTAATTGATTAATAGTTTGAGCTCTAAAACGTAACAACAGCTTTCTGGATATTGTGCAGCTGCTCCTTCGTCCTCCTCCTTTCCTCTACATGAGTTTTTAAAACACGCACACACACACGCACA